TGCAAACATCCTAAGCTACACTTTTTAAATAGTCAAACACAAGGGTTTAGATGTCAAAATTGGTCAAACCAAGACTTGGGAACCTAATTAGTCAAAGTGATCAACATGAATAATGTTCCAATTGACATTCTAGGTGTAACTAGGTTACTTAAAAGAGTTTTTAGCCACACCATACATTGGTCACACAAGAATCAAGCAAGGTATGTACTGAAACAATGAAAAACACATGAAATGTTACAACTGTTTCATAGTCATGTTTCACTTGTTTCATGACCTTGTTGCATAGTATTAATTAACTTTGCTTCACTAAAGTGAGTGGCACATGTTGCACTTAAGTGTTGCACACTTTACATTTCATAAAGGAAACAGCACACAAGAAACATAACGATACGTTGCAATGTTTCAAAGACATGTTTCATTTGATATAAGCTTGTGAATGAATGAATGATGCTCATGTCCATGAAATGCAAGTGCAAATGTGGAAGGCAAACACCTGGGGTGTTACAGGAGTTATGACCAAAACATTAAAGACTGCCCAGAAGCCTAGAAGACACGCGAAAACTGAAGACCACTTCATGAATGCTCTAGTCTGTTGTCCTTCCACCTTCCAACGTGGCTTCTTCAGTTCACATCTATCTTAGAAACTTCTCATAGTATAAATACCACCTATAGGCTACTAGAAAAGGACTTTTGAATGATTTGATAATTCCAGTGATATTGCAGCCAAGCTGCCGAGTGCTTACTCAAACCCTTGTTCTTCCTTATTCTTCCTGGACTTGTGAAGAGATTCCTCTGGGGTCCACTAGTTCGTGCTTTGCGGGTTCCAGTACGGCTGCCCTGCCTTGTGTGGATTAGCTCCGGTCATGGTTCTGCGGTCGTTCGGAGATCGAGTCGAAGTCTTCGCGGTTTCGGTGTCTCTCTCTCCCCGTCGCTTGGTCGCGTCCAACCTTGGCAGGTATAAAGCTAGTTATCCTCCGCTGTTCGCAGCAAGTTATCTTGTGATTTCCAACCTACTATCGTGAAGATCGGGCCACCCCGAGGAGGTTTCCATCGGTACCTTGCTGTTGGTGATCTCTGACCCTTATCATGTGGTGTCAGAGCTCAAGTTGACACGGTTGGTCTTGCCATCATCCACATCGTTACCCTTGTTTAATCTACTTCATATATTTGTGTTTATTCATATCCTATAGTCCAAAGCCACAAAAAAATACCTATAGCCATTTCTCGGTACTGTTACGTTGTGTTTTGTGTTCGTTGAGTTGCTAGTTACCACCGTTTATATAAAAAAATTGAGTTATTTCATTCGTTACCGCTGTCAGTGTTATTAAAAAAAAGATCAAAAAAAGAGAAGTGAAAAGAATTTGAAAGGATCTGTGTTGCGGTGTATTGCTAAAAATTTCAGTTACATATTTGAGTTGGTGATAATCTTGTTAGTAGCAACGTCGTGTCTTTGAGCACATCAAACCACTCGGTTGGCAGTACCGTAGCCCTCCTTGTTAGCCACCTATAGCTCCACCAAAACCTGAACCGGGACGTTCGATTCGTAATCCTTACGACCTCTCTACCACCTCCGTTGAAGCTGCCACACCAGCACCGTCACGGTCCTTAAGAACGAGCAAGAACTTGGGTAAGTAAGAGGTGAGATCGTGTGTTTCCACAAATTTATCTATTCCATTTTTTTTCTTGCAACTAGTCTAACATGGTAGGATCCAATTTGAGTGTTCATGGTGAGGACCACGGAGATGAAGAACCCCCTGTTGTACGGGCGAAGCTACGTCAAATGGCCAACTCGCTCTTGGAGGCGATGGAAAGGATGTTCAACGAACGTCTTCCTGCAGTGGGTGGTCGAGGACCTCAACATCAACATGAAGACAATCACCGTGAAGAATTTGGTGATGAAAATTCTGGTCTGGGTGCTGGATTTCATGGCCGCCATGGCAGTGGTCGCGGTGGTCGGGGTGGAGGGCGTCGTGCTGATTTTGATCAGCGTGGTGGTGGACGTCGTGCTGAATTTGATCATCAGTGTGGAGGAGGACGTGGACGTGATCGTCATGTACATTTTGATGATGAAGATGAGGTTCACGATGAGTATGAGGAAGGATTTGATGATAATGAAAATCCTTTTGGACACCATGGGCATTTTGGACAGCCACATGAACATCGTCGTGGTGCTGGTCATGATGGGGAAAATCATCGTGGTCGTCATAATAGAGATGATCTGGATAGCATTGCTCGTGTAAAGTTAAGTGTTCCAAAATTTTCAGGGAAAGAAAATGCCGATGCTTATCTTGAATGGGAGGAGCAATGTGATCAGATTTTTAGAGTGCATAACCTTTCTGATCAGAGGCGTGTCAACCTTGCTTCTGTTGAGTTTTCAGGTTACGCTCTCACATGGTGGAACCAAGTTCAAGAGGATCAACGTGTGTTGGGACGTGACCATATCAACACATGGGCTGAGATGAAAAGAGTGATGAGAAGATGCTTTGTGCCATCAAGTTATCAGCGTGACCTCCGCAATAGTTTACAAACATTGAAACAAGGATCAAAATCTGTTGATGACTACTTCAAAGAGATGGAGTTACTCTTGGTGAGATATGGAATTAGAGAAGATGAAGAGTAAAAAATGGCAAGATTTTTGAATGGTCTCAATGAAGAAATTTCAAGTTTTGTTAAGATGTTTCCATATCATAATTTGCAAGACCTTGTTTAAAGGTCCGTATTAAGCACTTGCAAGGCATGCTCACAGGCAATCGAGAACTAATCATTCATATTCGCAAAGAAAAAAAAAGAACTAATCGTTCAAGATTAAAATTTGGCAATGAAAATAATAATAAAAAGAACACAGAGCACTGGTGGAGCTACCCATCGGCCAACCTGGGCACCCCCCCCCCTGACTGATTCAGATGTTCAAACATGCAGTAATTTCAGTATTAGTGATCCATTTAGAAGTCTAGAACTAGAATCAAACATCAAACTCAAGCTTGCACGGTCTTGAACTCTTGATCTTATGTGACAATTGACGTTCCTTCTACCGAACAAAACAACATGCGGCAACAGGTCACTGACCCTTATGCTCCGTCGATCACCAGTGATGCCACGACATGATAAAGCTTAACTGCTTGTGTACTGTAGCAATTGGCCCCTCCTTGGATTGACTGCGAGCTCCGCCACAGAGTGAGAAGTCTTTCCTATAGGAGAGATGAAGAGATTTGCTTACATACAGAAGGCAAAAACCCTCAAAACATACTCTGCGACAACCCTTCATGCAGAAGGTGAGGAAACTTTGTTACAATTCATGTTTCATTAGTCATGCCTATGCCTCTGGCTATTGGGGATGTACTAAGTTTGAAATGCATCATTCATATCTGCCTGTTTGTATATTTGTGTTTTATCATTAATGGCTATTAAATAATAATTCTTTACAATGCATACTGTCCACTTTTTTTGAACTTTAATGTTCATATAGGCCAGATATTTGTAAACCTGAGAAGTTGAATATATGTTGACTCTTGTGTTTGTTGTGCCATAAATCTGATCCCATGGTTCCTCGCCTTTCCCCAGGTAACAATACATGAGGTGCACGAGAAGATACAGGATGCACTGGCTGCATACTTCAACGCCCTCTCCATGGAGGTAGAGGATGTTGTTGATATCGAAAAGATCATCTAGGGTTAGGTCTAGCGGGTTCTCTTTACTGTGAATGCGATATCGAGAGTAGAGGGACAGAGAGGAATAGAAGAAGAACGTGTCAAACCTAACACCACAGAGGGAGATGGTCCAGAAGCCGCCATCTCGTTCGTCGGTGAAGTCTGTGCACGGGCAGCGACGTTCGGGGAAGAGGTCAATGAAGTCGTCGACGTCGGTGGAGCGGGGCGGCGCGGCTGGTGGCTTTCCGTCACCGGCTGCGCCCCTCTCTGATCGGGATTAGAGTTTAGGTTTCGGTGGGGAGCTCGGCTCAGACGAACCTCGTACTCAGAGCCGCCGGCCCCCACATCTATATATAGCGCAGTGTGACAGGGGCCCTCCAGCCATAGTGGGCTGGGCGCCCCCGATCAGGGCGCGGATCAAAGGCCTAACTGGGCCGTTGGGTCCAATTTAGGATAAGAGATCAATCTATCACATGTCCCATCCAAGGTCTCTATCGGTGCCCTCCTCTCTAAACAAGGGCCCAAGTTCCTACCTGTGGCGAGGTGTTTCCTCTCGGATGCCCTAAGGCTCGAACCCACAAACCCGAATGGCTTGGTTCTACACCGGGAGGTTCACAAGCAGACGGCAGGCTAGCTGATGCTGCCGATTGCTTCCAGGCGGCCTCAATGCTCGAGGACTCGGCTAATTTTCTCTTCTTCGACTTTCCCCATTTTCGAAACATAGCTGGGCAGAAACCCAGGTGCCCTGCTATCTGTAACTTGTTGTATCTGCAGTTGCCAGTGTGTACCGTGCACTGTTCTTGGGGACCAACAAATGCTGTAATTGGTTGTTGAGTGATGTTATACGTACAAGATTCTTCAACTCGATAGCTCCATCAGGATCAGGGTGGCACTGAAACAGCTGTGTAATGATATGAGCCATTGTTACATATGTTACACAATATGATTATAACGAGTCAACAGCTAACTTAAAATTAAAGCCAGCGTCGCTGATATTGTAATGTTTTATTATTTTTGTTTCTGTTATGTTCTTCAATTACCTGATGTGCTTCAGGTAATTGAGTGGATGTTCTTCAGTTATACACAGCCTGAACGAGTTTACATGAAAAGATGCTTGTTTGTTGAACGTACAGAGAATGATATCCTGAAAGTTCTGCGTCATAAGAGGAGTACTGAAAGCCTGAACATGCAAACACATCTATAGAATAAATTCACAATCTGAATTTTACAGGATCAGTAGTTACTTGAAGACAGCATACAAACAGTCAATTAGTTAAGCACGGAAGAATTAGGGTACATGCAAGATTAAGCTACGCATAAGATTATGCTATGATGCATATGCATCCGTGGGATCTAGACGCCTACGAACTCCACTTTCTTGGCGTGATCTTCCAGCGCCTGCTTCCACGTCCGAGTCACGACAAACTCGAATGGTATGCCGAGCTCCTGTAGGTCCTCCGGGTATATCGTCTCATCGGGCAGCGCCGACTTCTCCATCTCCAGCAGCATCTGCCGGAACTGCTCCCTTGCGGCTGCGCGCGCAAGCTCCTTCTCCTCCTCCGGCCGCCGCTTCTTCGGAACTTCCGTCTTGGCCGCCGCTGCACGCTGGACCGGGTGCTGCTGCTGCTTCGCTGCTGCTGGTGTCTCTGCTGGTCGCTGCTGCTTGCTGGGAACTTCCAGAACGATCGGGTTCTTGGCCGCTGGGCGCTGCTGTTGCTTTGAATTCGCTGCTGGTGCCGTGATCTGAGTCTGATGATACGCCGCCTCCGTTGCTGCCTTGGGTTTGCGACGACGTCGTCCTCTTTGCTTCCGACGACACCACAGGCGCCTCCGATCGTCGTGGCGGCGGTGCGCACTTGTTCTCGGCGGGGGGGAGCAGAGCGAGGCAAGAGCTTGGCTCTCTTGAGCAGACCTTGAGGGCGACGAGCTCCGCGTCCATCCGGATCCGCAGCGCTGACGAGGCTGCAGGGTCGACGACGACGTGCTCGAAGCCGTCGTGGCGGCCACGCTTCCGAGCGGTTGCGGTAGACACCTCGGAGGCGCGGGCAATAAGGCGTGTCGGCTCCCCAGCGTTGTGGCCCGAAGTCGCGGTCGGAGCCACCGCGGCGACGACGCCCCGCTGCCGGTCGAGGAACGCGGTGGCGCCGAAGCCTGGAGCGGCGGCGCGAGGAGCGATGGTGCACATGGCGATCGAAAGCAGGGAAAGCAAGAGAGACAGGTGGTGGGCGGATGGATGGATCGATGGCTGGATCGGCGAGATGGACGCCGTATTTATCACCCGGGCAGCACCGAGACCGGCCGGCGAGAGCGTCTCCGACGCGGTTTCCAGGATGCCGCTGCTCCGATCGGAGCCGGCCGGGGTTTTGGATCGCGAACGCATGCAAAGAAGCTCGCGAGCTGGAAGCCTGCAACCAAAGGAACCGCCATGGTTTGGTGCGTGTCATGACGATTGCACACCGTGTCCACAACGCTATGGTAATCGCCTCGGAATCGGGGAATCCGATCGGTGAAACGAAAACGGAAATAATGAAAGTTGGAAATGAAACAATTCGATCGAAAACACAGATATTTCAAATCAGAGAGATCGAGAGACTAATAAACAATAAAACAAGAGTAAAGTTTGATTTATCTCTCTGTCCTCGAACTCTAATACCAGAGAACAGACACACATTGATTTTCAAAATCAAGTAGAATGCCCCCATCGATCATTTTAAAATGGGTTTTTGGGTGGTTTTGCTGCCTTAGGAGCCCACATGTCAGGTGGTCTCTTTTTTTTCAATTTGCGAATCACAAGATAGAGATACAAACACTCGTACACTGAACCCTATCAGAAAATAATAACTTTTTCATATAAAGTTGGATGAATATAAATTTTATATCAAAATTATAATGTTGACGCGATCTACAACTTTGTAGTTGAAATTTTTTTTAATGAGATATTTTGGTCGCTCAAATATTCGTTTTACGTTATCACATTTGAATTCCATTTTTAAAAAAAAATCAAATGACCTAGAATGTTGACAATGGTCTATACTAAAGTTGTAGGTCTTAATGGGATCTACAAATTTGTTGTTGTCAATTGTTTCCTAAATATCTCTTTATAAGTTCTCATATTTTGAAGCTTAAATTTTTTAATTTTCAAATGACCTTGATGTTGATGTGGTATATAGCCAAGTTGTAGCGCTAAATGTGATCTAAAACTTTACAGTTGACAACATTTTTTTCTAAGATCATTTAGATGTCCAAATATTTGTTTTAATTTCAAAGATTTAAAATTACTTTTTAATTTGTTGAATGAACTCGTACATTGACATGGTTTGTACCAAAGTTATATATCTCAATGTGATCGATAACTTTGTACTTGAAAACCTTTTTATTTGAGATCATTTAGAGACCCAAATATTTGTTTTATGTTCTCTGATTATGAAATTCAAACTTTTAGAATTTTATTACACAACCTTGGACGAAGACATACTCTATATTAAATGTTCTACGGAGAGAGAAACAAATGTCCTGACAAGAGAAATAAAAATGTTTAGAGAAGGGTGCGACGTTGAAAGGCGCTGGAGCTTCGCCACCGCCGTCAGCCCTACTCACCGGCTATCCTCTGCCGCCTGCTCACCAGTGCGTCCATCATCTCACTCGCTTCCCATCGAACCACCACCGTCGCTTGGTGGACCGCTATCGTCAGGCCCCCTTAAAAGAATCGAGATGTCTTCTAAAAGGAGTGAACATGAGTTCTGGAAAAAAAAATAGAGCTTCTAAAACTATTACAAGACTGGAGATCTAGTTTGGTCCTTAAATGTGGCACCAGATCTGCTCTAGATCGGAGGTCCTGTACTGGGTGACGGGAAGAACACAAGTCGGAGAGGGATTTCACCTATTTTAATCAATTATTATACTTGTTACCAAGTGTTGTGGATACGTACGCCCCTCACCATCCCCTATGTCGCACAATCTTCGTCCTCTACTAATCGAGTAGTCAACCGTGTGTTGGCAATGCATGTGCGTCAATTAATGTTTTTGTACCGCGGATAATGTACTAGTCACAAGAAAGAATGATCGTCAGTTTCATGTTTTGCGAGGAAAGGAATTGATTGCGAGGAAAGAATGATCGTCAGTTTCATGTACTAGTATACACTTTGAAGATGCAAGAAAAGAAAGTTCACTGGTGCCCTCCACCTGATGGGGTAATTAAGGTGAATTTTGATGCAGCTTTTAAAACTGAAACTTATGGAGGTGCCTCGGGAATAGTTTTACTAATGCCCAAGGTCAATTTGTAGCAGCCAAATGTAAACAACATGGGTCGATACCTGATGCTCTTAGTGCTGAAGCTTATGCTTATCTTGATGCGACGCTAATGATAAAGGATCTTGGACTGTCAACGGTGATTGTCGAAACGAATTGCCAAGAATTAGTGGCGCTATGGAATTATAAGACTAGTAATAGGTGTGCTATTATTCCAGTGCTAAATCAAATCCACGAACTTAGTCGACAATGCACACATTTTGTTTTGGTTCATGTAAGGAGGGAAGCAAACATGGCTACGCATTATACAGCCAAGTTTGCTTTACTTTCAAATTCTGAATGTACATGGTTGCATGATGTACCCAACTTTTTATCTCAATTTTTTCAGCAGGACTTTCCTGTTGAGAACTGAAGTAATATAAATAAAGTTTTCTTTGTTCTAAAAAAGATTCTTAGTTGGGCCAACATGTTTGGCGGCCGGACACATTTTGGGCCTTGCTCGCTCTAAATAAACTATTGGGCCTTCTTTACTCTCACACCGACAAGCCAACCCAGTTAAGTCAGATCTGGTGCACATAAGAGGCGCGCCAGGCGTTCTTCAAAACTATGGTAAACGCGGAATCCCCTTTCTTCTCGTATGTACGGCTCACGAATTTGGTGGGCTTGAGACAACTTCGTTTGGTTCCTTGTGTTGATCTACGCTAGCCAGAGGAGGCGAGGAGCCAGATCAACCAGTGGATCGCGAGCGCGACGGCCGACCGGATCAAGGACCTTCTTCGGTTCTTCCCACGGGCCGCCTCCACCGTGGGACGCCGGCGGTGCTCGCCAACGCACTCTACTTCAAGGGAGTGTGGGAGCGCAAGTTCGACACGGGACGAAGCCTTTTTCCTGCACGATGGTTGTGTCGTCCGTGTGCCATTCATGTCGAGCACCAGCAAGCAGTGCATCGCCTGCCGGCCCAGCTACAAGGTCATGAGGCTTCGCTACGCGCAACAAGGCCGGGCGAGCACCGGGTGTTCTCGATGTACATCTACCTTCCGGACACGCACGACGGCCTATCGACGCTGCTGCACAAGCTGAGCGCTGCTCAAGAGCTCCAGAACTCTGACGGATGGGGTCCCCGTGCGCGCGTTCAGGGTTCCCAGGTTCACCATCGCGGACAAGACGAACGCGAGGGAGATGCTGCTGGACCTCGAGCCATGACATTTGCCAGATAATCCACTAAACTTAGCGAGAGCTAAACTGAACCATCATGCAAGTGAGAGTGTGCAAGATAGTGTGCCAAATGTCATTGTCCTTGTGTATCCCTTTCATCAGGTTCCATCGTCCATGCCTCTCTACAATAGGAAATCCAAAACCCAATCTCACCATTGCCCAACTCGTTAATGGTGTAGGCGGCAGCAAATCGAAGGTGAAGGATAGGGGACAAGGACACCAAGCGGGATATCGGCTTCTCGACTCTGATTTTTACTTCTGGGCGTTGGATTTAGCATTTTTCGTTTATGTATATTTTGAGTTCAAAATCAGCTCGATTTGCTTAAAAATGTGGCATGACTATTAGTCTTCTCTTTCCTAAAATGGTTCGAATGAAATGGATACATGTAGCTCTCCAGTGAGGAAGAAGAGCAACAGTGTCTAATTCCTTGGTTCTTAGAACCGAGCTCTTCGGCTCATTTTGTTGATTCGTACGAGAGTACATGTTTTGTTGTTGAACCTATTGAAAATTTCTCGCCCATTCCTTGGTTCTAAACTGGCAATGACGTCAGGAAAATTGACGAACAAGGGTCCTATGAAATTCGTATGTAAAAAACTATGTTCCAAACACAAGAAGAGGCAGTCGAACAAATCATCCTAATCTCTACTAGTAGTAGTGTCATGCCAACCGCCATCGCCAACAGGAGGGTATCTGTCGGTGCAGAAAGTGACCAACATGTAAATATTTGTAGTTTTGTCGTACGTTGTGATCGGAGGTGGCCTAACACTCAATGACACAGGGTTTATACTGGTTCAGGCAACGTGCCCTACATCCAGTTTGAGTCGGTCAGTGACTTTATTCTTGAGCCCAGGTGCTCGTAGTTTGCAGTGGGGTTACAAACGAGAAGGAGAAAGATGGGGGGTACAAGAGGTCCAGTCGGATCCCGGTCGGAAGGGCCGAGAGTGACGGGAGCCCTGCTATGAGCTAAGTGTTCAAGTGTGTGCTTGTGGTTTGAACCAGGCGGTTCTGTTGTTGTGTGCTAGTGAACTTGATCGATCTAATGAATCTGAGTGAGTCTGAATGAATCCACTACTTGTTGGAAGAGAGTGCATCCCCTTTTATAGGTGAAGGGGATGTCCTTACAAGTGAGAGGGAGAGAGTATGTATGCTACTAAGCCTTGTTGCCCACGCCGGTGGGTACAGGATGATGGTAAGCACCCACAATACTGTTGAATGTCAGATGCACGTGGAAGGTTGTGTTGTTTTCTTCAGGTATGGTAGACGTCGGCGCCTGCCACACTGTTGATACCTGGAGGCATGCAAGGGGTTTTACCATGTTCGCCTGGTATGGTAAATGCTGACGCCCACAACACTATTGATGCCTAGAGGCATATGGGGGAAGCCTTACCATATGGGAGTTAATGGTGCCCACAATATTGTAGGAGAAAATGTCGGCGCCTACAACACTGCTTGGGCTCTGTTGTGTCAAGGAGGTTGCAGAGTACTGTTTCTGCAGGTGTACAGGGTACAGTCCCCGGTATTGTGGTTTGACTTATGCGCCCCGCCTTACTTTCTCCGTCCATTTCCTGGTCCTTACCGAGCGGGCGTCCCCGGTCGGTGAGTTCCAGTCAACTCTGATCGCGCCAGTCGGAGAAGAGTAGTGAGCAGGGGTTTGGCATATCTCTGGTCGGAGATGTGGGTCGGAGTCAGAAGCGGCGTTTGGCTAGGCCTTCTAGTCGGAA